CCTGTCCCGTCCTACCCCATCTCATCCCGTCCCAACCCCCCCCATTCCATTCCATCCCGTCCTATCCCATCTCATCCCATCCCATCCTACCCCGTCTCATCCCATCCCAACCCCATCCCATCCTACCCCGTCTCATCCCATCCTACCCCATCCCACCCACCCCGTCCCATCCCGCCCTTTCTGCCCGCAGTACGCCATGCTCCTGTCCCTCATCTTCCTCATCGTCCTGGTGGCCGCTGTCGTGGGGTTCGTCTTCAGGCACGAGGTGAGTCTGGGCGGTCGCTGCTGTCTCCCGATGCTGCGGAGCAAGGTCGGTGCTGGTTTTAACCCAAGTGCAGTTGCAAATGTCACTGGAGGGACAGAGGTGCTGCTGGGAGTGGTGATTAGTTTAGCTAAAATGGGGTTAATACAGCCCAAAGTGCAGCTTGGTCCCCGAAAAGGCCCATTAGGTCCCATAAGGATAAGGCTGGGTACAGGGTCCAGCCGGCATGGCACGCTGCCCCTCTGCCAGAACAGGCGAAGTAGTCCTGGACTTTAATTTCTGGCCTTGGTCTACTGCAATAATTTCTGTAATTAAAGCTCCTCTGAGGGTTCCCGTGCTATGGAACAGCCTTCCTGGGGTGCAGTTGGCACTGCACAGGTCCTTGTTATTATGTGCAGCATCCCTGCCGCCACAGCGCATCCCAGCCTGCCCTTTAATACAGCGTTTAATTGCCTGGGTGACCGGGGGAATGTCTGCTGGCCGCGGCCGGAGTCATTCCTGCCATCACCGAGAGGTGACTAACACGGGGCCGCGGGTCCTGAAGCGCAGGAGGGGACGGCACCGCCGCAGAGACCTCTCTCTTGCAGATTAAGACGAACTTTGAGAGTAACCTCAACCTGGCCTTGAGGGACTACAACGTGACCGCAGATCGGCACAGCGAGGCTGTCGACACCATCCAAAGAACCGTGAGTGCCCCAGGCTGGTGTCTGGATGGCGGCGGGTGGGTACGCTCGCCTCGCCCCGCGCCCTCCCCTGGGAACCCCTGCAGTATCGGCATCCCTGTCGTGGTGCTGGGGGTCCTTTTGCACCACGGGCTTTTGAGTTTGGGAGGAGGTGCTGGGTGAGATGGGGGCAGTTCCTGGCGAGGCGAGGGCAGGGGAGCTGTGGGAGTGATCATAGAAATAGGGGGTCAGTACCCTGGTGTGACTGTGCTCCCCAAATGTATTTCCCCCTCCAGCTGCACTGCTGCGGGGTGCAGAACTATTCGGACTGGGAGAGGACTGAATACTTCACCCAGAAGGGCATCCCCCAGAGCTGCTGCAAGAGCCAGGATGACTGCTCGGAGGAGGATCTGAAAGACCCAAGCAAAGCCAAGCTGAAAGTGTTTGTGGATGTAAGTTAAGCTCAGAAAAATCCCCCTGCCAGTCCTGGAGGTGGGGAGGGCAGAGCTGGATGGGTGGAAAAGGGCTTGCCCTTCCCTGGGAGGCTTGAAAGGAGAACTACTCTCTCGATGCAGATGCCTTGTGGCCCAGGGACTCCCCTGGGGTGGAGGTAGGTGAAGGGTATGGAGGAACAAGCCCTCCCTCATGTCTGAGGTCCCCCCCGCTCCTTCCTTGGAGGTCAGGGACCAGCCAGACCCAAGTGTTTGCACTGGGGGCTGTGTGTTTTGGAGAACAGGTGAATGAGGAGGTAATTTCCCAGTAAAGTTAGTTTCGGCGGCACTGACGTCTCCCCGTGACGGTGCAAAGTCCTGAGGCAGTGGTGAGCACGGGTGACCTCATCCTGCAGGGACGGCTGGGTGATGCAAGGGATGTTCCTCTGATGAGTCACTTTGCTCAACCCAACGCTCCCTTTGGGAACAGCCCGTGGGCAAGCGCTCCCCTTGATAAGGAGGCTGGGCTGGGAGGCTGGTTGGCGAAACGCTGATAGGAAAGTGACTTTGCCCGAGGTGAGGCAGGAGGGTGGCAGCCAGAAGCCCTCAGCTGCCCACACAGGAGCATCTTCTCTTGGAGCTGCTGGTGCTCTGGGGAGATGTCGGTTTCTGCTCCCGCGGGGTGAAAAGCACTGGACCACGTTCTCACTTTCCATCCTCTGCAGGGTTGTTTTTTCCTGGTTACGTCAACGATGGAGTCAAAAATGAGCGTTGTGGCTGGAATCTCCTTTGGCATCGCGTGCTTCCAGGTAAAATCTCCCTTGCCTGGCACAGGGGGAGTGCAGAGTGAAGCTAGCCTGTCTCCGGAGGTATTTAATTTCTGTGCAAATTCTGGTGTGTGTACAAAAGGCACGGCCTGTTTCACCCAGGGAGGAGCAGGTATTCTGCAGATTCTCCTTGGGTTTAATCTCACTGCTGTGCAGTCTCCAGTCTCTTAAACCCAGGGCTGAAGCACCAGCTCTGTTTCCGTGAGCCCAGGTTATTTGAGAGGAGCTCCTGTCTGAAACACCCAACTTCAAGAAAAAACAAACGCAGCCTGTGCTGTGCCGGGCAAACTCCTTGCGTTTGCTGTAGGCAGGGATCAAATCTGCGCCCTTCCTTTTCCTACCCACCGACCTCCCTTTTTATCAGGGAGGCGTTTTGGCATCACTTCTGCCTGGCTGGCTCCCTGCGAGCCCCTGTGGGGCACCGCTTGTTCTGGCGGCTCACACCCCGCATGCTGCCTTACCCTACGATTGCTTCCTTTCCCTCCCGCTCCCCAACCTCTCCTTTACTTAATCCTGTAGGACGCTTCCTCCAGGAGCCGCGGCAGCAGCCTGCTTGCCGGCCCCTGCTCCGGCAGGCTTTATCCCGGCAGGAAACGAGAGGCCCCCGTCCCCAGCTCCGCCACGCTGGGCGTCGGGCACGCTGCCGCTGCCCTGGGGTTTCCCGAGGCGCCGAGGGTTTTCCGACGCGCCTCAGCGGGAGCAGCGGGATGCGCAGCCGGCCCTTCTTCAGCTGGTTTGTGGAAGCTTGGTGGGCTCTCGGTGCTGCGGAGCGAGCTCAACTGGCCGTGACTTTGGAGGGGCTCGAATTCACCCTCCCCTTGATCCGGCACGCAGAGGCCGTGGCGTGAGCTTCCCGCTGCTGCCACCCGGGACCATTCGCTGACCACACCGGCGTGGGGAGAAGGAACCCTGCTGGGTTTCCAGGAACCTGTCCTGGAAAAGATATTTCTCGTGTAACGAGCGTGTCGCCGTGCGTTTCCCGTAACGGATGAGCTGGGGCAGAGGCGGGAGCCAACAGCCCCTGGCTGCAGCGTGTGCTACCAAGTGCTTTCGGTTGCAGCTGGGAGAGCCTGAGAGCCGGAGCCGCTCCTCTGCGCCCAGCCGCTCGCCCCGCTCTCCTCCTCAGTTGGGCTGTGCTCACCGTGGGGTCACCAAGACGTGACCGTCACACAAACGGTGAGCTGCACGCTCCCAGCTGCAAAATCATCTTGGCTGATGCCAGGCTTGGGAATTGTAACTGGTTCCTGGCTTTTATCGCTTTCATCAAGCCTTGCTGTGTCGTGTAGCCGGCAGGGACCCATCATGCAAAATGTGCCTCTAACTTTGCTTGTGTAAGTCAAACTCCTGCAGGATCTGGCCCTAAATGTCTGTGCAGGGGCTGTGAGGCCACATTGTGATAACGGTAGTGTGTCCTTCAGATGCTGATGCGAAAACAGCAACCTTGCTTCCCCGCTGTCCTTGCAACAGGGAGAGGTGGCTCCTGTTCTCTAGTGGCTGTGTAATTGGCTGTGACGCTCCTGATATCTGTGTAATCTCCAAAATTACCATAAAACAGTAGATGCTTCATGAAGCAAAATGTAACAGGACAGGACGCAGAGCATCTCTTGTGACGAGCTTGTTTGGCTGATGCCTGCCAGGATCCTCCACTTCAGCCTCCCTCAGTTAGTCCAAAGCAGGGCGCAGCAGTCTGTGCTGTGGTTTGTAAATCCCACTGTCCATCCTTGGATTTTATAAAACTGATGCTCTAGAGCAATTTGTCAGGCTTTTCCCCTAAAACACTGTGTCCTGGTCTTGGCTGCCTCTGATGTGTGGGGGTTTTTTTTCTCTTTTTCAGTTGGTTGGCATCATTCTTGCCTGCTGCCTGTCCCAGTACATCACGAACAACCAGTACGAGATGGTGTAGCTGGCCCCCAGCACACTGTGGCTGTGGCCGTGGCCGGGTACGTCTGTCCAGCCGTGTAAGCTCGGTGGGCTGCCTCTGCATCCCTGGCTGCCGCCCGATCGCCCCTGGGGACCTTCGGCACGGCGGCGGGTACCGTGGGGGGCGGCTGCGGGGGTAGAGGGCACCTGTGGGATCGTGTCTGCGACGTCATTTTAAGCCGTGTATAAATCCAGCCTTGTCTGCTAACAGTTTGCCTTGCGCATTGCAGGGTATGCTCTCCGCGGCCGGGGAGGATGCCACCACCTCCAGTTTTCCTCTGGATGCCGCTTCGTGAAATCTTGCTTTGAACTGACTGATCTTCTTCTCAACTAGCTCATAGAAACGAGTGCAGCAGCTGTCCTGGTGCGCTCAGGGACTTGTCCTAACACTACTCTGCCGTGCCACCGCGTGGGATAATTAGTGTAGCTGCGGTGGTTACAGCAAGCGCACTCCTCCGGGTGCTGCAGCCCCTGGCTCTTTCCTCGGCGGCACGCTCGAGTGCCGTGCCGAGCAGACCGTGCTGGTGGCCTCGCGGGACTCCCAGTGCTCATCCTCGGTGCCTCCGTCGGGAAAGCGATGCTTCCCCTCGTCTCTGGCAGCCCCTCGATGTCCCCTCGCTCTCTGGACGCGGTGGCTCTCGAGATGGGGCTGTTGCCCAGCTGAAACGTGGCCCTGCCTGCCTGAAGCCCTTGGCTCAGCAAGGTCTCAGCTTGTTGCCAAGCTCTCTCTCACCCCTGTCCTGGGTTTTATATACTTTTTTAGAGTTGTACTTTTTTAAGTACGGGCTGTAGTGATTCTTTGTAAGCTGTAGCGAGGTTTGGTGATGTAGCTCCTGGTGCCTTTACCTTGGTAGGTGTCCTTGCACCGAGTCAGCTGTGACTTGATTGTCAGTATTATATGCTGCTTTAACTCGTTTGTGTATTGAGTAGAACTCTCTTGTCCTGAGACACAATAAATATTAAGATATTTTACTCTATGAAACAGCCTTGGCTTTTCTTTTCATCTCCTGGAAATTCCTCTGCTCGAGTTGCTGCAAAGAGCAGCAAACCCCCCGGGAGGTAATCCGCTCGCCCCGGGCCAGCCAGTAACCTCTGGACCATCGCCGCTTGCGTTTCTCCAATGCTCACTGGTGCACTTGCGCTTACAAATAACTTCTGTAATTGAATTTTCTTCATAACAGTGGTTGTGTAACAGTGCTGAAGCAGAAGGCCTGGAGCATCCCAGCCCAGGAGCCGGGCGGAGGAGTTCAGCCCCGTGCAAACACGCGCATCCTCTGCCGGCCCGCCGCTCGCTCCGAGCAAAGGGCAGGACAGCACTGCTGGAGCTGCCTGCGTCCCCAGCCTCTCCCCGGGGCAAGAAACGTGGATTTAAGCTTTTGTGTTCGTTTGGTACTGCTCAGCTCAGGGTTGTTTCATCAGCAGACCTTTGCCTTACTGAGCGTGATGCCGCAGTGGTGCAGTGAAGCTCCTCTCCTGCCCAGCTTGGGGGATTTTTTGGGTCTCAAGCGCCGAATTTGCCAGCGCTGTGGCTTGGAGCAGCCCGCTGGCTGCCAGGGCTGCCTCTCCTGCTCCCAGCGAGGAGGGAGATGTAAAAGGAGGGGTTAAGCCACAGGTTTGTCGGCATCATCCCTCTGGCAAACACTGCTCTGGTGGTGGGTGAGCTGCCCCAACCAAACCGCCCCGTGGTGCGGCAAATGACCCGGTATGGGACAGGCTCGCTGCTGACGGAGGAACCTGAAGGGGAACACCTGAAATCCATATGTTGCGTTTAACCTGGGTGAGTAAATCAAACTGTTGTCAGCACCTGGCTGGCTGAAAGCGTCCTGGGTCGGGACGGCGAGGCAGAGTGCGTCAGAGCACGGAAACCGGGTTGGAGAGATCAGCTGGTGGCAATTAATGGATGGATGGACACAGGGGCAGGAACACGTGAGAAGCAGGCCCAGGTTCGGATAAACCCATCCACATCAGAAAGCCTGTGCAGAGGGAAGCGACCGTGCAGCCTTCTTCCCTGGGTGGGCAGCGGAGGCGATGGCGGGCGGGTGGCAATGGTGCTGGCAGAGGGTGGCACGGGGAGCCTGGAGGTTTCTGAGCTGCTGCAGGAAAACCAGCACTGACTGACTGTGCTAAGCTGGGGAGCGTGGAGGCTTGTCCAGCCTGCTCGTCCCCACGGCCAGCGACAGGCACTGTGGCCATCAGAGGGTGCAGATCTTATCTAGTTAAATACTGCTTAAGTAGACACCTCGCTTTAAACGTGGAGAGGCAGCAGTAACGTCTGGGAGGTAGAGGCGTGTGCTGGGGGAGACGTCAGGCAGACTTGGGACACTGCTCTCCTGGCAAAGGCATTGGGCACACTTTGGTGACCCGGCTGGATCCACCGAGCCGGGACACGAGCACCGCTGGCTGGCTCCAGGGCTCCAGTTTCCCGCAGCAGCTGTGGTCGGGTGAGTTTCACGTATTCCCTCCTCTCAGGGGGAATAAATGTCTTCGGGGACTTGTCGGAAACGCTTGGTGTCCCCAAGACTGCTCGGTGTCCCTTAGGACGCCGCGCAGGGAGCTCTGCTGCACCGCGCTCCCAGTGTTTTAACCACGTTGCCAGCACAGCTGTGAACAGGGGTGGAAGGAACGGCCCTTAAAACCTGCTCACATCCCCACAGGAGCCGCAGGGATACGGGGAAGGCCTGGCAGCCCCGGTGACACCGCCGCTGGCACCCGGCACAGTGGCAGCGAGCAGAGCCCGACCTCTGCTCCTTCTTCTGTACGTATGGCTGGGCAGGCTCATCCCTCCAGGCGTTTCCCTGGAAAGCACCGGCCGTGGCAGCACGTGCTCCCTCAGGGACACCGAGAGGGTTTCCCCCAGTGACACCCACGGTACGTCAAAGCTCTTCGGCAGCAGCCGGCTCCCTCGGGATGAAAGCTGGAACCTGGGGTCTGGGATGAGCACCGAGGCCATGAGCAAGGGAAGGCTGCGCGGGGATTTTGGCCGTCAGCCCTCAGCGCCGCTGCAGGCAGTGTCCCGCTCAGGGCGGCTGCAGTGTCAAGGACTTACTTTTTCCCTCCTGCAGCTCGGGTTTTACCCATTTGTTGGTCACAGGGCTGGGGACAGCTGACGGCACTTGGGGTCGTCCGCGCCTCCGCTCCCGCTGGCTTTTGCCGCCCGGTTCCCCGGGGGCTCCTGGTGCCCGCTCCTGCCTCTGCCTCTCCCGCACGCCACCACGCTGCACATCGCTCCTGAGGGGACCGCGGCCGTCCCTGAGCTGTCGCTAATAACTACCGAACACATCAGAGCATGCTGGAGCAGAGGGTCGAGACGTGCTGAACAACTACCAGTGCTGTCAGGGAGCAAATTAGGGACCTCCGCACGTTCCCAGCGAGGCGAGCGCCGGCAGTCCTGGTACCTGAGTTATGGATGCTCGTGACAAGGCAGCCGAGCAATTAGATCACTTCTCAGACCCATTAAGCGTCACAGACTGAGACTAAACGACTTTCCATTTTCTTTGCAATCGCTCATACAAGACGTTTATTGTTTGCCTCTTGCTGCTCAGCGTGGCGATGATGCACTCGAGCGTGGCCTCCCCCAGCCCCGCGGGAGCAGCGCAGGATGCCGGGGGGACAGGCGGTGCCCGCGCGGCATCTCGCCGGCAATCAAGCAGGTAACGACCCGTGCGTAGGCTACGTCGGGACGCATCCGGATGGGTGACGACGTGCCAGGTGGGCACGGGGCAGGACCCAAGCGCCGGGTGCCGCGCGGCGGGGGCTACACCCTGCCCAGCATCCGTGCAATCCACCAGTTGCAGGGCATGATGATCCGGCAGATGACCCTCCCGCCCTGGTAGCAGTAGGGGTAGGGGTAGTAGCCCAGGAGGGGCTCGCAGACCCGCCGGCAGTAGCGGTTGGCGCGGCGGCACTGGGCACAGCAGTAGCCTCGCTCGTCCCACAAGGGGTGGAACTCCAGCCCGTTCTCCGACTGTCAGGAAAAGCCAGTGTCAGCATAGTGAGGAGGATGGGTGGCCGAGGGACCCCAGGAACATGACCAGGACACCCTGGGACCGTGGCCAGGACACCCCAGGAGCATGATCAGGGCACCCTAGGGACATGGCCAGGACAGCCCAGGAGTGTGACCAGGACACCCCGGGACCATGGCCAGGGCACCCCAGGGTGCAATTCCCCGCACTCACATAGTCGTTGACAGGCAGGTCCTCCTCGGTGAGCTGCCGTGCCCGGCGCTTGGGCCCTGCCTGCGCGTCCTTCTTCACCTCGTGTTCGCTCCCCCCATCCAACCAGCTCTGGTTGTCTATGAGCAGCTCAGGATATTCTTCTTCTGCCCCTTCAAGGTTGGCCAGCTCAGGAGCTACAGGAAGAGCCCAAATGTTGCCATCAACAACCAGGGAGTAGGGGGACAAATGCAGCAGCAGGCATTAATGGCTCTACCAAAATTTGGTGCTAGGGTAGAAGAAAACCCCAGCAAACCAACTGTACACCATTGCCTCCTGCTCTTACCAAGCCTGGGAGATGATATGGTGGGAGGAGAGGGTAAAGCAGACACGGCCCATCTCCTCCCTGTGCTCGTGGGTGGTGGGTACCCACGGGTGTTGTTGGCATCCCCTGCATGGGGCACGTGCGGGAAGCATGTCCTCATGGTGAGCTCTGCTGCTGGGGGGGGGATTTGTAAAGCCCCAGCAAAGCGACAGCAGCCAAGGACAGCAGCTTCCCTCTGCATTGGGGGTCTCTGATGCCCACTTGCTCCCAGGACCATCGATGGCCGTGAGCTGACTGGTACCTGCGGGGGACGAGATGCGCCTCTGTGGCTGCAGAGCGGAGGGAGTTTTCTCGGCAGGGGTTTTAAACTAGCTCATTTGGATAGAAGTGGGTTAGAGAGAGCGGGTTAATTATGCTGGCGGATCTCAGAGGCCACAACCTCTGTGAGGGCTGTGTAGTGAGCAGCTGGAGATGGCAACCCTGTTGTGTGATTTAGATGCAGATGTCTGCTCATGCTCTGATGTTCATGCGGT